GCACTCATAGAGGAAGCAGAGGTGATGGAGACATAATCTCGCAAGCAAGTGCGTTTAGCGTCACGGATGACACGGCGAGCGATCGCACGCTTCTGCTTAAATTCAAGAAGTCTCTCTGTGGTTCTATTGTACCGGTACCTGCCCCATGCAGCACGTTTCAAACGTAATGCATGAACACAAGCAGGAGACCACCAAGGCACGCATTTCTGAGAATGCCTGCCGAAGTTTGGGGTATAGAATGAGAAGCTGCGGTTAAAACGGAGGACGAGAAGAGGTGTAAAAGCTCATCGATGGAGGACGAAGAAGGAACCTCTCTAAAAACAGTTAGGTGTGAGTAAAGGTTCCAATTTGCCTGATCAAATTGCCAGCGTGGGATGCGAAGAGGTGGTGAATATGAAGGGGAAGTAAGAATGATTGGGAAATTATCGCTGTTATGTAAGTCCGGAAGAACAGACCAAGTGAAGTCTAATGCGGCGGAGGAAGAGCAGACTGAGAGATCGATGCAAGAGAGAGTGTGAGTCCGAGGATCAAAATGGGTGTGAGTACCTGTATTTAAAACATGGAGGGGGTGGGTGGCAAGAAAAGCCTCTAACTGAATGCCACGGGAATCACAGTGAGACCCCCCCAGAGGAAATGGTGGGCATTAAAATCACCAAGTAACAGAATCGGTGGTGCTAATGACGAAACAAGAAAGGCAATATCCGGAATAGATAATGCCCGAGAAGGAGAGAGATATAAAGAACAGAGCGTATACCACCTATGCAAGTGGATACGGGCTGCTGTGTAATGCAGCGAAGTACGAACAAATAGCTGATGGTACGGAATATCAGTGCGTAGAAGAAGGGCACTATACACAAATAACCCGCACATAAAAGACAGAAGCTGACGACGACGTTTCGGTCCGACTTGGACCATTGACAAAGTCACAATTTGTCAATGGTCCAAGTCGGACCGAAACGTCGTCGTCAGCTTCTGTCTTTTATGTGCGGGTTATTTGTGTATCGTTCCAGTCACGGTATTGTGCCTTTTTGTTATTTATAGAAGGGCACTTTCATTAAAGGTCCCATCAGGAAAAGGATCCGAAGAATACAATAAATTATAGCCTGAGATGGGAGAGATAACAGCAGTGTGTAATTTTGGTTCCTGTAAGCAAACACCAACAGGGGAAAACTGGGAGAGTAACATCTGAAGCTCACCTCGATTACCCCTGAGGCCGCGTATATTCCACTGTAAATAGGCCATGATTGGCAATGATAAAGATACCTGAAATCCGCAGGTAAGGGTTCCTACGGACTAGAGGGGTTAGAAAAGTCCACATGCGGAGGCATTGGAAAACGTTCAAGCAGCGAAGGAACGGTGCGCTGTGAAGAAAGGAGTTGCGCAGATGGAGTAGAGGAGAGAGAAGGAGCGGAGGGTGGATCAGTGTCCATTGATGGTTTGGTCTCTGCAATATATTCAGAGATTGTTTCAAGTGTTTCAGAATTCAGAGACGTCGTATGGGAGACAATATTGGAAATGGTAGGGGGAGGATGAGTAAAGATTGGAACCGTAATGGACTGTACCAAGGTAGAGGGGGACGGAAGGGTGGAGGGAACTGGAGAAGCGTGGAAGGGGACAGAAGAGGCAGAAACCTGGGAGGTGGCCGAAGAGGAAGAAACTTGGGAGGGAACAGAGGAGGAAGGTACAGTACGAGGAGGAGGGTGAACCTCTACACTTGTAACAGAGCCAGTGAGAGGGGGAGAACATTATGCACAGAAAAATTTTTATATCAACTAGTATCACCTGAAAATTTTTACCCTTAAGGACAACAATTAACAAAATTTTACCAATTTTTTTAAATGCATATTTATAATGTTGTACCAACAATTACCTCACACTCTGACTATCCATGCAAAACTTTACATAACACGAAACGATTTACCTTTCTAAGAATTTGCATAGCATAAATTAAGCTTGTTTTCCTTAGAGGCAAATCATCAAGTGACCCAAACACTGTGTGGGCATAAAGTTGTTTTCATTATGTGATTCTGAAACAATTCCTTTTTAAACACACTAACCATCTCTAACCAAGGTAGGATGACCCAAAATAGGGAGTAAACACACTCACTGTAACACACGCAAATACTTTCTTGCCAGTTCAGGTGGCCTTCCAATATCAGCAGGCTTCTGGCGAACAGCGATTGAATAAATAACAGTAAAATGATTCCTCTTCTTTTGGGATTTCGTTCAAACCTCGAAAGAAACGTCATGTATCCAGTTTAGAAAAGTTAAACTTTTAAAGGGAAATTTGCAAAATTTTCATAGGTTTTTTTTTGGGGTAGAAAATAAAGAATATTTTGTAAGATCTTTTACATTTTTACATATATTTGTACACATCCTCATTTTCATTTTCTTTGTGCCAGCAAGACGTGTGTGGCACAGTCAAAGCTAAAAGGAGAGAATGTCATCACTCAAAAAAAAAGGGGGAAAAACTAAATAAATGTTTTTGGCCCAAAAAACACATTTGTATCATTGGCCCTGATAAGAGGTGTTTGCTTTCACAAAACATTCATGAACCATAAAGGGTTCAATTAAAAAGTGGACAGAAACACAAAAAAAGGGAAAAACTAAAGCTGGTTGTTTTACCCAATATTTCTTTTTTTTTTGGCAGGATTATTATAAAATTTCAAAGTTGGAAAATACAAAAAAAGTTTTTACAAAAAAAGATAATGTTTCATTTTTTAAGGGTTGGGGGGATCATTCCCCTTTAGCCATCCCACCCAGGCCCTAATTTGGTAAGAAAATATTACGCTAAGAACAAAAAAAATTACAAAAAAAGTAACATGATACAAGGGGTGATGATAAAAAAAGATTTTCAAATTATTCCAGAACAGATCTCTTTTTGCTCCCGTGCTACTGCATATATAAAATTTCCCCATCATTTTTAAGCCAAAAGAAAAAAATATTCCCAAAAAGACACTGAATTTATTCTAAAATAAATTATGCCCTACTTATGAAAAATAATTCCCCCTTATGCAAATTTAAGTACTTATATAGAACAGGTAAATATAATAAGACAGTTGGTACAACGAAAAAATAGAATTCATCCTTGGTAAATTCACTAACAAAATAGTACACAATGAAATCAGGCAACAGAAATTAAAAAATCATTTGGGCTTTGGCAATCTGAGGTTTTTTCCCCTCCTCCCCCCGGATATTTCTCCAAGAGCAAACCCCAACCGAAAAAGTTTCTTTTGCACCAGCCCACGTAATCTTATTTTTTAAAACACTAACTATAAAGAAAAAAAAATCACATTTTTTTTAATAGCTTCTTAAAACCCAAAAGTAAAAATACCCCAATTCAAATTCCCCCCAAAAATTGCAATATCTCCACCCCTGTACAGAAACTACATTTTCCTTTTACTCCGATCAAATCCGCTAAAGGTTTCCACGAGTCACTTTCATGTTACCTTGCTCAACTGTGACAGAAATAATTCACAAATAATCATGTCTCCCCTTCAATTTAACCCCCAAACTGTCCAAAAAGTAGATCTACGTTGCTCGCGAAGTGCCCAAACGTAGATCTAGTTGGACAGTTTAAGGGTTAAAATCATAGTTAAGCCCCAGCACTAAAACATCCCTTTCTCCTTCAAAACCTTTCCCAGGATGTCCCCCTACCCCCCTTTTTTCCCAAACCCCAATTTTATGCACCTGTTGACTACTTATTTTGCTCCCCTTCTAATGCTCAACCCCCTCAAAAGCCCCACCAATCTTTGGGTATTTCCCAACCTGACAGTCTGTAAAAAACATGACTGCATTGAAAAAACCTGTATTTCCTCAACGTTGGGGTTTTAAAGACATATAAAAACATTAAAAAGGCTTTTTTGAGTCCATAGGGGGGATGTCACTTGTTTTCTCTAGAAATACTGCTGTACCCTAACAGCCCTTTCTAAGGCAGGCCAAACTGCAGATCTAAAGAATGTGCAGAGAACCTTCATGGCTCACATAAATTCAGTAAGGTACCTAAATTATCGGGAATGTTTGAAAATCCCTCTATGTATACTTCTTAGAACACAGGCAAGAAACATACATTTTATATTGCACCTGGAAAATTCTATATGGACTGGTCCCAAATCTGCACATAAAAATCATTTCCATGAAAGAAGAAAGTCTGACAGCGGGGGCACAATGAGTACATTAAAATTTTTCAACACTCTCCCTTCAAATACAAGTATATGGGGAATTACCAACAGTCCCCTGGCTGTCTTCAAGAGGGGGCTTGATAAGCTCCTCAACCTGGGCTGTAGAGCAGGGACAGAGAGAGGAGGAGGGATGGAGAGAGGGTAAAGGGGAGAGAGAGAGGGGACAGAGGGAAAAGGATGTGAGAGACAGAAAGGGAGGGACAGATAGTAGGGAAAGGGGAGAGTGAGAGGGACATCAAAGCATACTTTTAATAGTTTTATCTTAATATGTCTTGTTGTGTTATCAATACAGTAGACTATGGTACTAAGTCTGTTTTACTGGCATTTGGCCATTAGGTGGTACATCGAGTAAGAAAACTTCAATATAACAGATTTTTGCCAAAGTGGACACTTCTTTTCCCCTATTAGTCAGTTTTATGGAGGTTTCACTGTATTACAAATGACCAAAGCAAATGTTCACTTTTTAATTTTACTTTCACTTTGGTTTTCTATAAAATATGGTATACAAATATTTAGTGACATGACTACTGCCCCTGGTATGAAGTAATACAAGTACAAAACTGGTTAGTAGGCAGGGTAATTCTGAACTTTTTTAGTTGTTATTCAAACTCATGTTCTACAAACAATTTTTAAACAGAGGTCAATTGCATTTACTGTTTGAGGTAAAAGGTCAGAAAACTAACATTAACTGAGTAATCAAGTTTAATAACTATGTTTTTGATGGCAAATGCTCTATAGGTTTTATACTCTATAGGGTTTATAAGATCAAAAGCCATTAAGTACTAGTAAGGGTAATGAAAATGTTAAATATATACTAACACCTGATACTGATAATGACCAGACCTGGGGGCGAATACATTTATATATATTTCAAAATGAATATTTAAGTACAAATATGATTGCTCCAAATTGTTAGTATATTTAAATATACTGTACAGTATATAAATAAAAATTTTATCAGTGTATTTGAATATACTTTGAATACATTGATATATACTGTACAAAATGATATAATGACCAATATGTAAACAAATATGTTAGAGAAACATGCAAGAGTTATATATGGCATTTATTGGCAATGTCTGTGCATCTCAAATTAAGATATTGTACTAAAAAAGCAATGAAACTGTTCCACAATTTATTACATTGTCACTAGTGTATCAAACGTATACAGAGTAATTAAAAATGTTCCACATTTTTATATAACACTCGTACTGAAATAAACATAAAAAATTTATCAAGCATGCTATGATAAAGAATAATTATAATAATTTGTATACAAATCTTACTCCAGCAGTAAGAAATATGGTACCAATGACTTAACAAGATACTGTATGCTGGTTAACACACAGTAATCAATGGAGAAGACACCAAATTGACACCTAAAATAAAATATACTATTCTTGATCAAAACATCACAACATAATTTTATTCAACTGATTTAAAAGACGAACACCGGAGTGCCAAGAGTAAATGAAAAGGCCCTTAAATGAGTTGTGTAAAGAAAGGGGTTTGGTAATAGGTAATATTTATTTTGAGAAGAGGATAAATAAGTATGAGACACATAATATAGGGCAAAATGACAGCACTGTTTCCTTCATAATCTACATTACTGACATCAGTATCATTTATGCAGATCTATGCTTTAAGCAGAGCACCATAAAATATGCAGCAATTTTGGTCTAGATATGAGAGAATGGGCCTGTGTGGCGAATGTGAACAGTATAAAAAAAAATCCTATTCCACATGGTGCATGTTGGGAAAAGCAAAACTCTTATCTTGTGTTTGGTTGAAAATACACACACTAAGGGTTTTTTTCATAGAAATTTGGTTATATTTTATTATCCGAGAAATGGGGTAAGTTTTTGATTTTTTGCTTGATGAATTCAAAATGGAAGGCAAATGTAATATAGGAGAGACCTGGGAATGTGATACTGATACTCTGACACATCCCTTATTAAAAAAACACTAGATCTGATTAAAAAAATAGGAGTTATCACAGTTGCTATTTGTTGATGATAGTTCTTTTGGGTAATTTTGAAGACAAACTGCAAAGGTTGCAAGACAACCTTACTTAATATTTTTCAAAAACTGTATCACAAATACAGCACTTAAATCATTGTGCATAAAGTACAGCAGATCATTTGATAACACGTGATCTGTCAAAAAAAAAAAATTGCATTAATGCGGTTGCAAAACTGAGGTAAATTTTTGGCAAACACACTGTATTAATCAGTTTACGTGGCAGAGTTTCAGTTAATCTGCGCTTCACATTAGCAGCATCGAAAACAGGGCAGGGCCTGCTTTACTCTTCTGGTTTGTTCTCACCTTTTGTACCTGTTTGGGAGTTTAGGTCCCTGTTGCACACCCAGCAACCTCTACCCACATCACCTGTCACAGCCCCCTGCCCCACTCCATGGTCACTTGCTGTTGATATGCAGCCATCAACCTCCACCCACACTATCTGCCCATACAACCCACCACCCCACCTCATAGCCACATGCTCTTGATACACACCCAGCAACCTCACCCATATCTCCCACCCCTCACATACCACCTGGCCCTATAATTCCCCTGCAGCCATATGCCTTCACCCACACCATGCCCACAAGCAGCTTCCACCTACACAACTCCCCTACAGCCACACACCTTCACACACCATACCACCCAGCAAATCACCTTAAGCCAAAAAAACACAATAAAGATCAGTGATACGATGATCACCCGTCTACTGCCAGACAACCCACTGCCCCCCACACTTCAAAAAACTAAACCTACTTAATTTACAAAAATTCACTCCTACTACTTTGCATACTACATATACAGAACAATAATTTATAATATTAATCTTTCCCTGAAAATCCTTCTTGATAGTTGCAGCAGAACTTACAGGCGTAATACCAAGCCACAAAATTCTCTATGATATTTCTCCGCATCCAGCTCAATCTATGTAAAACCTCAATATGCAAAAAGGACCTAAAATCTGGAACTCTCTACCTTAAACTCCTGTCTTTCTATCTGCCTGCCAATTCAAAGCTACAGTAAAAAAAAACTTTTTCCCTAATGTGATCCTAACAACAACTAATTATACTGAACAATTCTTTCAACTTATGTTGTCCCTGTCCTTGTCTACCACATTCATCACATGAACCTAGCTTCTTCCTTAATTATATCTCTAATTATACTTTTTTATTGAACTGCTAAATATTTACAACTTAAGACAGCTCAAGAGAACGAAAGATAGCTCAACAAAGTATGAGAACAAAAGTGCACAAAGAGCAAATAAGCAAGAGAACAAGAGTAAGAGAGTAAGAACAAGCAACAGTGTGAGAGCAAGTGAGAGCAAGTGGGAGCAAGTGCAAGGAAATGAGAGCCAGAAAAAGAGCAAACCAGAAAGAGAAAGGCTGATAGTGCAAGGGTAAGCAGAGAGGATGAGACAGCAAGAAAATGAGAGCACAAGAGAATGAGAGACAGATTAAGAGCAAGACCAGTAACATGCAACAGAGTGAGACCTGGAGCAAGCAAGACCAAGTGAAAGAGTAAGACTGAGAGCAAGATTGAATGAAAGAGCAAGACAGAACGAGATAGAGACAGAGGAAGAGAGCAAGACAGAGGAAGAGAGTAAGATGAAGAAAGAGAGCAAGACAGACAGAGAGAGCGAGACAGGAAGAAAGCGAGAAGAGGAAGGGAATGGGATAGAGTAAGAAAGCAAGACACAGCAAGAGCAACATGGCGAGAGAATGAAAAGAGAGAGAGAGAGAATGAGAGAGAGAGAGAATGAGAGAGAGAGAATGAGAGAGAAAGAGAGAATGAGAGAGAGAGAGAATGAGAGAGAGAGAGAATGAGAGAGAGAAAGAGAGAGAGAGAATGAGAGAGAGAATGAGAGAGAGAGAGAATGAGAGAGAATGAGAGAGAGAGAGAATGAGAGAGAGAGAGAATGAGAGAGAGAGAGAATGAGAGAGAGAGAGAATGAGAGAGAGAGAGAATGAGAGAGAGAGAGAATGAGAGAGAGAGAGAATGAGAGAGAGAGAGAGAGAGAGAGAGAGAGAATGAGAGAGAGAATGAGAGAGAGAATGAGAGAGAGAATGAGAGAGAGAATGAGAGAGAGAATGAGAGAGAGAGAGAATGAGAGAGAGAGAGAATGAGAGAGAGAGAATGAGAGAGAGAGAGAATGAGAGAGAGAGAGAATGAGAGAGAGAGAGAATGAGAGAGAGAGAGAATGAGAGAGAGAATGAGAGAGAGAGAGAATGAGAGAGAGAGAGAATGAGAGAAGAGAGAGGAGAGATGAGAGAGAGAGAGAATGAGAGAGAGAGAGAATGAGAGAGAGAGAGAAATGAGAGAGAGAGAGGAATGAGGAGAGAGAGAGAATGAGAGAGAGAGAATGAGAGAGAGAGAATGAGAGAGAGAGAGAATGAAGAGAGAATGAGAGAGGAGATGAAGAGAGAGAGAGAGAGAATGAGAGAGAGAGAGAAGAGAGAGAGAGAGAAGAGAATGAGAGAGAGTGAGAAGAGAGAATGAGAGAGAGAGGAGAATGAGAGAGAGAGAGAGATGAGAGAGAGAGAGAGAATGAAGAGAGAGAGAGAGATGAGAGAGAGAGAGAATGAGAGAGAGAGAGGAATGAGAGAGAGAGAGAGAGGAGAGAGAGATGAGAGAGAGAGGAATGAGAGAGAGGAGAGAGAGAGAGAGAAGAGAGAGAGAGAGAGAGAGAGAGAGAGAGAGAGAGAGAGAGAGAGAGAGAGAGAGACATTCAATCATGCTATACTGTAATAGCAATTTTAATACAGGGTCTTGAGCTATCTTATCCCATTGTTATGAACACAAAGAGCCTGTGCTGCAATGTGAATAAACAACACAATTAACAATAAAAGTATCATCACAATATACTTACACTTCCTCGGGTTCTTCTTCAGGTTTTCGCTTGTAAACAAAGGGATAACCATTTAAATGTGAGCCAGCCATCCTGGAAGAAAAGAATCAATATAAAAAGATGTTCATTTACTATATACGTATTAAGATGCATGTATACAGTTTTTCTTTACCTTGCATACTGTACTATGAGCCAAGGAGACACTCAAATAATCCACACACATAAAAAAGTATTTGCTCCTTCACTCTTAAAGAAATGAGATTATGGAACATTCACTTCGGCTAACCCACAAGCACAAACCTTTCTATTGCCAAAATTATCAGAAAGCAATTTGATTATACATTATCTCTAGGAAATTCTAAGTTTTCAATGTTATGTACAATCCACGACCAATAAAAGCCTTGCCATTTTTTTGCACCCTCATAAAATATCAAGTATTTAAAATAACTAAATCTTGCCACTCCTACTGAATTGTTTTAGGATGTGGGGACCATGATCTGTACAACCACAAACAGGCAGACAAATAATGTACGTATATTTATTTTGTACAAATATTATGCAAAAACAATTGCAATCAGCTTGAAATTTTATTCCGTTAATACTTAATGCTGAAACTTAGAAATAAATGTGAAGTGAAAACTTGGTTTCAAATATCTTTTGGTTAAACCATTTTAATTCTACACTCAGAAAACTAAATAAATTTCTTTCAATTACTGAATGATCTCATTTACACTATAATAAATAAGTAAATACACTAACACGATGTGATTAAAATTGAACACGTACTCTAGATCCATTAAATGTTCCTAAAACTTGCTACTAATACTATATACTCTTACTATGGTAGCTACAAAACAAATGTTCTTGAGCTGACTAAGGCAATGTTAACTACTAGGTACTACACTCTTGAAAATCAATGTAACATCATAAGACAAACAACAACCGGTATTACATTAAAGTCCCACCTGAAGTTAAAACCCATAGGTGCTCGAGAGTTGAAATAAGTTGCACTAGGCATCTGTGGAATGCCAAGGGTTGAGGCGGTGGTGTTAGGACACACAACAGGTGGGGGTGGCATGGGTGGTGTTGTGAAACCCCCTATGCCCCACATGCTGGCTATACTAGGACGAGACACAGGTGGGTAGCCAGCTTGAGGGGAGGAGAGGGGTGATGTAGTTTGGAAACCCATATAAGCAGTTGTTTCTGGTGGTGAGGAGGCAGGAGATTTAACAAGTAGGTTAGAATCACCCCCAGAAGTAGTACAGCCCAAACTACCTGCACCAATGCCCACACCACCACCTACAGGACCTCCCATTGATCGCACTTCAGGAAAGTTCATTGTAATGCCACACCTGTTAAGAGGAATAATCAGATTAGTAACCAACAAGTGACATTAGGACATATTTCTCAAGGATGTAGAGTTAAAATTCTTGAAGAGAAAGAACTAAAAGTTACAAAAATAGTGAATTGGAAAAGTTAGTTTAGGCTCAGTAAAGGTGTTAAGTGGTAGAACATCAATATACAGAGGGAAATATTAAAGCATTCAGTGATATATACTCAGGTGGAAATATTTCTTTATTAGCTGTGACTTGACTGTCATGAACCCCATCAGTTTGATTAACTAGGCCAGGGTTGACCAACCAGAGGTGAGACTCCTTGGGGTACATGGAGCCTCAGCAGAAGGTGCATGAATGATCCCTAGGATAATTCTGCTTAAAAATACACATCAATAAATTATGGACTGCATTACAAATTGAGGAAAATAAATCATCAGCCAAGCTTATGTTTAAACCATGTATGCTTGTGGTCTCTCAGAAAGCTGTACCAGCCAGTGTGGCATGAAACCACAAGCCTGTGGCTCACTGCTCGCCAAGATCAGTCGACTGCTGACAATCCAGGGAGGAGGTTGACTGCTGACAGTCCAGGAAGGTAATGCATGTCATTGATGTGAAATATTTGCTCTATTAATCTTGGTGCTACTCAACTTTTTTAGTCATTATTGATTAATTTATGTTAAAAATTATTTTATAATTTTTTATTTATTAACACATCGGCCGTCTCCCACCACTCCATCATTGTCTTACCAGAAACATGTTTACACTACAGTTATAAAACTGCAACATTAACACCCCTCCTTCAGAGTGCAGACACTGTACTTCCCATCTCCAGGACTCAAGTCCTACCTACCAGTTTCCCTGAAGCCCTTCATAAATGTTACCTTGCTCACACTCAAACAGCACGTCAAGTCCTAAAAACCATTAGTGTTCATTCGCTCCTAACAAACATGCTCACGCATGCTTGCTGGAAGTGCAAGCCCCTCACATGCAAAACATCCTTTAACCCCCTCCCTCCAACCTTTCCTAGGCCGACCCCTACCCCGCCTTCCCTCCACTACAGATTTGTGCACTCTTGAAGTCATTTTATTTTGTTCCATCCTCTCTACATGTCCGAACCACCTCAACAACCCCTCCTCAGCCCTCTGGATAATAGTTTTGGTAATCCCGCACCTCCTTCTAATTTCCAAACTATGAATTCTCTGCATTATATTCACACCACACACTGTCCTCAGACATGACATCTCCACTGCCTCCAGCCTTCTCCATGTTGCAATATTCACCACCTATGCTTCACACCCATACAAGAGCATTGGTATAACTATACTTTCATACAATTTCCTCTTTGCTTCCATGGAACAAAGTTCTTTGTCTCTACAGACTCCTAAGTGCACCACTCACCATTTTTTCCTCATCAATTCCATGCTTCAGCTAATCCTTCACAGACCCATCTGCTGACACGTCCACTCCTAAATATCTGAATACATTTACCTCCATACTCTCTCCCTCCCTCATCACCTTACTCTTTCCTATATTCACTTTTAATTTTCTTCTTTTACATACCCTACCAAACTCATCTACCAACCTCTACAACTTCTCTCCAGACTCTCCCAAAAGCAGTGCCATCAGAAAAGAGCAACTATGACAACTCCCGCTTTGTGTTAGATTCTTTATCTTTTAACCTCACACCTCTTGCCAGCACCCGAGCATTCACTTCTCTTACAAAACCATCTATAAATATATTGAACAACTATGGTGACATCACTCATCCTTGTCTAAAGACTACTTTTACCAGAAAATAATCTCCCTCTCTCCTACATACTCAAACCTGAGCCTCACTATCCTCGTAAAAACTCTTCACTGCTTTCAGTAACCTACCTCCTATTCCATACATCTGCAACATCTGCCACATTGACCCCCTATCCACCCTGTCATACTCCTTTTCCAAATCCATAAATGCCACAAAAACCTCTTTACCCTTATCTAAATACTGTTCACTTCTATGTTTCACTATAAATACTTGGTCCACACACCCCCTACCTTTCCTAAAGCCTCTTTGTTAATCTGCTATCCTACTCTGTCTTACTCTTAATTCTTTCAATAATAACTCTACCATACACTTTACCAGGTATACTCAACAGACTTATTCCCCTATAATTTCTGCACTCTCTTTTGTCCTCCTTGCCTTTATACAATGGAACTATGCATGCTCTCTGCCAATCCCTAGGTACCTTACCCTCTTTCATACATTTATTAAATAAAAGCACCATCCACTCCAAAACTATATCCCCACCTGCTTTTAACATTTCTATCTGTACTCCATTAATCCCAGCTGCCTTACCCCCTTTCATTCTACCCACTGCCTCACAAACTTCCCCCCCCCACTCAGAACTGGCTCCTCCTCACTCCTACAAGATGTTATTCCTCCTTGCCCTATACACGAAATCACAGCTTCCTCATCTTCATCAACATTTAACAATTCCTTAAAATAGTCCCTCCATCTTTCTGATACCTCTAACTTTCCATTTAATAACTCTCCTCTCCTATTTTTAACCGTCAAATCTATTAGTTCCCTAGGCTTCCTCAACTTATTAACCTCACTCCAAAACTTTTTATTTTCAACAAAATTTGTTGATAACATCTCATCACTCTCTCATTTTCTCTCTTTTTATATTGCTTCACCACTCTCTTAACCTCTCTTTTTCTCTCCATATACTCTTCCCTCCTTGCATCACTTCTACTTTGTAGAAACCTCTCGTGCTAACTTTTTCTCCCTTACTACTCGTTTACATCATCATTCCACCAATTGCTCTTCTTCCCTCCCACACTTTTAAATACAGCCTTTCCTTACTTAACGACAGAGTTTCATTCCTAAGACCACGTTGGTAAACGAGTACATCGCTAAGTGAGGAGAGGCTGTATAAAAATTTTTCTATTACTAGAGTATTTTTTGTTTAGTTCTATAAAAAAAAATGTGAATTCATTAAAATTTTAGATCTTAATTCAGTGTCTTATCATGAAAAATTTTATAGGATGAGGTGGATTGGGATAAATTTGGTAGGGCTGCACAAAGTAATATCAATCAAAAGCAAGTCCCAAGTCGAAGGGACATTAATGTACAGATATCACCACATAGCCACTAGGCAGGAAGACACTAAACCTGTATGGGTTACATACACCATGAGAACGAGAGGTAATGACATTAGATCCGAGGAAGGGGATCTTCCCAGCAACTAAAGCACCCCGTCCCCTCTGGAAGGGTGGAGAGACGAGCATCCACACGCCACCAACACTGATTATTACACCATTATTACATTTATGGGGAGCGCCAAACCCACAGGGGGGGATGAGGCAGCGTCTGGGGAGGGCCAGCAGTTCTGGAGTGACACTCCAACTGATGAGTGGCACTTACCTAGTCCTCCTAACACTCACACACACCAGCTGACAGCGGCTCTCACCACCTGCACAACCAACTACTCTCCAACAAACCACAAAGACACTTTCCTCTTTGTTTCATAACATCGGTGTCTCTCCTACTGCAAAGAAAACACTGGAAAACACAGACGATATTTCGTCTCATAAGACTATCCAGTCTCCTCTGAGAGTCACCACAAACCCTGCCAAAATATTACATTACGCAGTAACCACCAACCTTTTCAAGCTAGGATCAAGGACCCTCCGGCTAGACTAGTGAAGGAAGAGCTGTCATAAGATAATAGGAGGCTGAAGGAGGCAGAAGAACACCACTACGATGTTTACTAAACACTGGTCGGCTGCTGGAGTGGCAGTGACACGAGCCTTGCGCACCACCGCAATCACCACCACCACCACCACCCACACTATATACACACATATACATATTCACTCCTCAATACCAATAATAAACTGGTATCATCACTGTTTTCAGAGTTAGACTCAATATTCCATAAACCCCCCGTGGGGTAACTACGGCACTGTTGCGCCGCTTCTACAAAATCAAGAAATGTCAAGAAATTTCTAGATAACTCGGGATATTATAGATATTTTGTTTAAGGAGTAAGCAAGTCTATACACATAATACAATACTAAGTGTTAAAATTAAACTGCTAGGTAGCAAATTCAAGTACCCAGTAGTTTTATATTGTAATTCACTTGTGGGGAATAATTACCTTCAAATAACCCGCACAAAGGAGAGGAGAATTACGATGTTTCGCACAGGCTTGGACCATACAAAGGAGAGGAGAATTACGATGTTTCGCACAGGCTTGGACCATTGACAAGTCACACTAAAGCAAGAAGAATAGGACAAAATATATACGAGGGGGCAGTGAAAGAAAGGAGAGGTATTGGTAGTGGAAAAAGAGTTATTATTATTATTAGTAGTAGTCGTGATAAGTAAATAAGTTTATCTAGGTACAGGTACACATGCAGTTACACAAATTATCATGCATATTAACATATGTATAAATTACCTGGGATGACCCCAAAAAGTCCAACAGTAGTAGTAGTAGAAGTAGCAGCCGCAGCAGCAGTAGTAGTAGTAATAGTAGTAGTAGTAGTAGTAGTAGTAGTAGTAGTAGTAGTAACAGTAGTAGTAGTTGTGGAAAATTGCATTTAGCTGAATGTATCATTATATACATAACAGTAAATGAACAAAGATAATTATTATTTATCAGTTAGACAAGTAGGAATTTGGGACACCTAGGTCGCAAAAAATGTCCCCCTTCGATACCTACCACTGTCATATCCACAAGTTGCTCTGGACCTATTAATTACCAATGAAATATGTATAACCAGGAATACTGGTAAATATATAAATTTTGTGGACTGTATATTAAAAATAATAAATGGCTATATATATACACAATTACATAACAGAAGGAAAATATATCTTAATATCACTCACCAATTTGACTGGATATTAAGTTGTATCATACTCAGAATAACCTCACTAACTAAATTTATGAAAACACTGGCCAGAATTATACACAAATCTAGAGAGCTTATATGAGGTTCCTGGAGCTGTCTTGTCCAGTAGTCTGATATCTCAAGTTATGCAGGAATACATGTCCAACAATTTCGCCTCCTATTTGAGAGGTGTCAGCCCAATTTTAACCTCTAGAGCACGAAAATCCCTTCCCATTACACTAACGTTGTATCCAATTCAAAACCAAGATGGCGAGTCTCGTCTGCGCAGACGCAGGCTTTCCGTTTTCTATGACATAAATATTATTTAATACAGTATGGCCATCTATTTACATATAAATACTGAATTTCTGGAAAATATATACAGTATTTTCCACACTGCGGCCGGCCGGAGTTCGTTGCTAAACGATTCAAATTACTCCTTCCTTTAGGAGACGATTCCAGCCAGTTCTGGCTTGAGTGGCTGTTCTCCTAGTAGGTCTTACAACGATTTCATCTTCCGGCATCACTTGGTCTGCTTTATCTTCCATATCACTCATGTCACTTTCCCTCAAATTTTCATTTACGTTTGATTGAACACCTAATTCCAAGGGAATCAATTTATTAATTGTGTGTAAACTTTCCTGGCCACGACACAACACTTTGACATTCCTGACAACACCTTGTGCATCTGGGTACAATGTCAATACTTTGCCCAGAGGCCACAATGTTCGATGTTGTTCAGTGTCAATTAACACAATGTCACCTGGTTTACCTGGAGTTTACCTGGAGAGAGTTCCGGGGGTCAACGCCCCCGCGGCCCGGTCTGAGACCAGGCCTCCTGGTGGATCAGAGCCTGATCAACCAGGCTGTTGCTGCTGGCTGCACGCAAACCAACATACGAGCCACAGCCCGGCTGATCCGGAACTGACTTTAGGTGCTTGTCCAGTGCCAGCTTGAAGACTGCCAGGGGTCTGTTGGTAATCCCCCTTATGTGTGCTGGGAGGCAGTTGAACAGTCTCGGGCCCCTGACACTTATTGTATGGTCTCTTAACGTGCTAGTGACACCCCTGCTTTTCATTGGGGGGATGGTGCATCGTCTGCCAAGTCTTTTGCTTTCGTAGTGAGTGATTTTCGTGTGCAAGTTCGGTACTAGTCCCTCTAGGATTTTCCAGGTCTGTCGATTTACTGCCTCTGTCGCACCATAAAAGTGTTCACGTAGTGTAAGAAGATATTCCTTATGCCACACATTAGACCAATAATCAATTACTTTATTTAACATTTTAAATTTGTCACACAACACTGCCGCATCATTGTAATCTTCATCACTTTCTTCCGGATTATCTCTATAGACAGGGGCAGCTTCCAATTTCCTTCCACATATTAAGTGAGAAGGTGTTAATACATCTGCATCAGGTGTATCACTCATGTACGAGGCCTATTATTTATACGATTTTCTGCCTCCACTAACACTGCACGGAATTCTTCCAAATTAATTCTATTCCGGTGTAATACTTTGCGGAGACACCTCTTCACTGTACCTATCAGTCTTTCGTATAGCCCCCCCTTCCAAGGGGCTCTAGGAGTAATAAATTTCCAGGTACACCCTCGCTGGGTTAACAGAGATTGAACATCGTTACTATTATTTAATTCTATCAAGTGTTGAGCACCTGCTACAAAATTTGTGGCATTATCCGAAATCATCAACCTCGGACAGGATCTCCTAGCTGCAAATTTTCGAAACAGCTCTATAAACTGTTCTGCAGACAAGTCCTGTGCCACTTCTAAATGAACTGCCCTAGTAGCAGTACAGGTGAGCAAACAAACATACACTTTCAGTGGAACACCATATGACGTACCTGTTAAAATTATTGGACCACTATAGTCTACACCTGTTACATCAAATGGTTTCACTAATTGTACACGCTCCTTTGGCAATGGTGGAGGACCTGGGTACATATAGGATCTGGCATCCACACGGCGACATATTACACAAGATTTAATCACCCTTTTTACACTTTGCCGTTCTTGTGGAATCCAGAAAATTTCCCTAATACAATTTAAGGTATCTTGTACCCCACCATGCATTACATTTTTATGGGCATTTAGAACAATCAAATTTGTTAGATGATGAGTTTTGGGCAGTAAGATAGGGTGTTTAGCATAATCACCCAGTTCAGCATTTTGTAACCTACCTCTGCACCTAATTACACTGTTCTCTAAATACAGCCCCAATTTCTCTATTATGGAACCTTTCACAATTTTTCTTTCCATCATCAATTTAATCTCATTTCCATAGATTTCCTCCTGTACCCTCTTTATCCAATATTCAAGAGGATGTGAAAACTTATATGAAATATTCATCTTGTTTAGAAATTTAAACACCAATTTAGTTACACTGATTAGTTTGGGTGAAGAAGAATACCTATTTATATCAATGGCTAAGGAAGGACAAACTATTGGAGCGGTGGTCACAGTAATTTCAACAGGAGCAATATACGCCTTTTGTACAGGCCAATTAGCTTTATTTACCAACCAGCTCGGTCCTTTAAACCATGATACAGCATTTACAAATTTAACATAAGGTAAACCTCGAGACAAGAAATCAGCTGGATTCTCCTCACCAGGTATATGATTAAATGTTAACATATGCTGACCCAAACTATTATACTTCTCTTGCATCTGATTAATTTCAGTGACTCTGTTTTGTACGTACACAATTTTACTGTTTCCATTACAAATCCATTGTAGGGATACCTCATTATCAGACCAAATTACAATGTCGCTAATATTTATCTCCTGCAACTTATTTCTTATATAATTAGCTAATTTGACACCTGCATAAATGGCTGTTAATTCCAACTGAGGTAAGGTACGTGATTTAATTGGAGACACTTTAGCCTTAGACATAACAAGAGAAATAACACTATTACATTGAAGATAAACAACTGCTCCATATGCCAATTTTGAAGCATCACAAAAAATGTGGAGTACATTTTTCCCAATTGGATTGGCCACCTGGCGTGGGAACTCCAACATTGGAATTTTCTCATAATCACCAATTAATTCATCCCACCTGTTAATGAATTCCTCAGGTAGAATTTCATCCCAAGCACATTTAAGTTTCCATGCTTCCTGTATTAACAATTTCCCTCTTATAGTAAGGGGTGACACTAACCCTAGTGGATCAAAACATTTGGAAACTTCGGCAAGCAAAACTCTCTTAGTTAATTTATTGGGCATACTGTAATTATTAGGTTTTAACATTAACAAATCTCTCTCAGTATCCCAAGTTAAACCCAATACATTACTACATTTTGGCACTTCATCTCCAGAGTAATCTTTACTTATTTTGTCCTTTAATTTGGACGAATTACTATTCCATTCCCTCAGAGGCATATTTGCACTTTGCATTATTTTATTAGCCTCTCCATAAGTCATTAACAGTTCCTCTTCAGTTGACGTCACACCTAGGAAATTGTCTACATAAAATTGTTTGCTCATTACTTTACTCAATGGACTTTCCATACGTTTAAGGTGTGCATTTATCGTCGCTTGAAGTAGGAACGGACTGGATGTAGCACCAAATAATACGCTCCTAAAGCGAAAGGTTTTCAGAGGACTGCTTGCAGAGGCAAAGGCAATGTTCGCGGCTTTCACTGAGACCCACATAAAGGATCACTTGGACAACGAAATATGGATCCCAGGTTACAACCTATACAGATGTGACAGAGTGAACAGGCAAAAGGGGGGGGGGGGGGTTGGCCTGTACATTGCAGAGTCACTTGTTTGCACAGAACTGCTTAATGCCTCAAATGATGTAGTGGAAGTTTTAGCAGTAAAGGTCGAGAACCAAAACCTAGTCATTGTGGTAGTCTACAAGCCTCCGGATGCAACATCCCAGCAATTCCAGGAACAGCTGTTAAAAATTGACCACTGTCTGGAAATCTTCCACCTCCTGCACCCA